TGGTGGTAGTGGTAGTGTTGGCGGTGGTAGTGGCGGCGGTGCAACGTCGCCGGTATCGATAGTAGTGGTTGTATCTTATTTCCCACGTTCGGCAGCATTTTCGAAGCTCGAAAATCTCTTTTCGAGGGGTTACGATCGATTGCGACCTTCGAAGACGCGTGTTCGCGAAAGGAGGAGCGCGCGACGATGCTAGTCGTGATCGTTGGAAGACAAGGTGCAGAAGAATCAACGGATTCGAGGATCCTCGAGGGTGGCGGTGTCGAGCCGGCTACCCGTGACACGACGCTTTAGTCGGTGCTAGTTTCCGCTCGGTTGTCTCGATGCGTCTTTTTCAAGTTTACCGAGAAATTTACTTCGCTGATAGCCGTAATTCGATCGATTTTGAATGAACTGTTCATATATTTGGATTTGAAGCAAATCTCATTATTGTTGGAACGTTTTGTGCGACATCGAAACCGAAGAAATTGAATTAGTTATTCCAATTAACCGGGTCGTTCAGAATTACGCATAGTTAAGTCATTGACGCGTGTGGATACGTATGTATATATATATACACACACATATACATATATATAGCTATTAGTCTTCCTCGGTCACGACCTTCACCGTGTAATCAACTTGGAAGCGAAAGGTCGATTCCGGTACACATATCAAGGGGATGCTGCAAAATTCATCTGTAAAATAATCTTTTTAAAATATTTTAAATATAATTTACTATTCATTTATGTGCGAAGAAAAAAGTTTTAAAAGCTGACTTCGACTGTGCTTCTTTTGTCAGAGAAAAGGGTCGATAGATCGAGGCTCTCGAAATGCAGCACCATATTGCTTAAAATACGAAGTGAAGCTATCGATTTCGAACACCAACGGAATCATGAGCAGAATACATCTGATAATATTCCTCGTTTTTTTTCTCCTAATTATCTTCTTTTCTTTGCTTCTTTTCTCCTTTTTCTTTCGCGTGATTCTATAATCTTCGACTATATTTTGCCAAAATTCGCGTTTCGTCGGATAAACACGATACCTCATCTTCGAAAGCTTATAATATCGACAATTGTTAAATCATTAAGAAGAAAATCGATCTCAAGTGATGTAAATGTAAAGTGTTTGCGCACAATCTCCATCGTCACTCGAATTAATCCTCGATTCGAGTTTTCTTTGAATTTCAACACGTGGTAGTTGCTTTTCATCCTATCTTTCGCGTCTAATTCCATTCATCGAATGAGACGCAGGAAAACGCTATTCGCAGAGCCGGCGTTCCTTTGACCCAGTGATCCGATTCGTCTGTAGTGCGCTCGAGTACATCCACCCTCCGTGAACGTTGAAATTCATCGTGGTCAAAAGATGGCGACGTCACGGTTATTGTGGCGCTACAACGACTATCACGATAATTTCCGCCGGCATTTCTATCGTCTAGTTTCGTAACTCTCGTACAATTCGAACAAATTTGATTCCGAATTCTTTCTCGCAAACTCCTCCTTTTCATCGCTCTTCGTAGAGTTTGCGTAGAATCTTCTCCACGGAAGAATTGTGATCGAACAAAGAAGTATTAACCTCGAAGCCGATTTTCCGATCGAAGATCATCGAGAAGCGGTCATCGATTCGAAGATTCGAATCGAAAACTCGAGTCGAAATAAACGAAGACGATACTCATTGCCATCTGTGATGCGCGAATCGAGGAAACGACGAGATCGCGCAGAAACGCGAAAAACATTTTACGATCGCGCGAATCGATCGACAACAATGGCGCGATCGAGCTCGAACCGCATTTCGTGAATGCGCGCGCATGCGCGCGCGTAGTCCCTTTGAATGACGCGGTCCGGTTTACCTTCGAGACGCTGAAGCGTTTGCGAAACATGTTGATGCGTTGGAAGAGCAAGGACAAGAGCTCTAGCAAGAGCTCCTCCGCCGGTCCCAGTCTTGGCAAGAAGAAGCGTAAATTCGGCAGAGAAGGTAAGAATATGCTCTATCAATTTTTAAGATTTCTCCTCTCTTCGTTGTTTCTCTTTTTATCCACAACGCACGTAGTTCTTTTTCTCTTTCTTCAACTTATATCTCCAAACGATTTCCCTTGCGATTTTATTATTTGTTGAAACGTTTAAATTAGTTGCGAGAATTAAAGCTCTCCCGCGAGAACAGGATCGATTTTCGATAATCGATTCAGCAAACCAGATGCGACAAAGTATCGCATAGTCGTCTATTTTGTTTTTTCGACGAGGCACGGACGATTTCTCTAGGATAACGACGTTAACGAACAATTAGAAATTCTCGATCGCTATTTCAATTCCTTTCGTGTAATCGTATCTCGGTTCATGTTGTGGCGGCTCGTTGCAGCTTGTTGCTTGTAATAAGTCACGCAAACTAAGCATGGTATCGCATGTATGAAAACTTTGTGATTATTTCCGTTTCCGTTAAATTGTTTTAAGACGTATTACGATATATATATATATNATCACGTTAATGTATTAATATATACTTTTCATCGCGTGCAATTCTTCGTAC